CATTCAGCAACCACACATATAATACTCGGTCCTCGAAAAATGAAAACACTCAAGTTAAATGTAAAGCCTCAGCTCTCAAAGACAGCATTCGCTATCAAGGCTGCAAACTCTGGAACGGGTTGCCATCTTTCATTTCTGAAGCAGTCGTTAACTGTTTTCAAATAGCTATTTGCAAGGAAATTGAGTTTGTTTATTTTGTTACTACTACTTTACTATATACTCTCACAGTATTTACATGGTACATTGTTTTATGCATACAGTCTTGTTTTATTAAGTTGATGGAACATCTTAGGTTGGGGAGGGGTAGTTGGATGTAACGGGAATTCTCGGGATGTTTTTTTCGCTTAAGGGCGGGGGTGTAGGGATAAGGGAGTATTTCCTCAGTCCCTCGACTTCTAACATCTTCCTCATAACTTCTTTGCTTTCCATGTATCTTTGTTAATCACTTTTATATTTTGTTTACTTACTATTAAGTTACATAATTTATTTGTGTTCATTATGAAAGTTATGAAATAAAACTGAAATGAATTGAATTGAATTGAACAACACCAAGTACACGATATAAACCATTACCTGCTATCGAATCTGGACACAGGAAGCAAGTTCCCATCCCAGGGCTAATTACTTTTGGAAACGAGCTTGTGACATGGGGACGAAGTTGATCCTATACAGGTAATATCTTGTTCTATCAAGACTTGATACCGTACCTTACTTGGTGCAGTCCTTGGTTGTCGTCATTTTAAAGAAGTGACTCGAGTCGAGTCGAGTCATTAGGTCCAGAAGGTCGAGTTGAGTCGAGCCTCAGTGTGTAGTCGAGTCGAGTCGAGTTAAATGTTTAGCTCGAGTCAACTCGAGTCACGAATATTGGACAACTATATAACAAATAAAGACAAGAGAGAAAGTCATTTGTATCACTAACAGTTATGAAGAAGTGAAACTCTGGTCTTATAGACTTGGTTTCGGGTCTAGAATTTTTTTCGCTGATCCCTGACATAAAACCCCCCAAATTGCATTATACAAAACATATGTTTATTTAAAAGTGGGCATGTATCAATTTAATTTTTAAAAGGAGGGCATAAGTTTAGCCGGCGTTCGAATCCCAGAGCTTAATAAGAAATCGCCCAAAGACAAGGATGGAACAACGAATTGGAAAATGTGTTTAAAGTCCGGTTCCGGAACAGTATTTTGTGCGTTCCAGAACCACAAGGTGGGAGTCTGTGAATATGTTTGTACACGACAAGCGGCCGCTGTACCGTATTGTATTCGCAAAGTGACGTTTAAGTCATTGCAGATATTTTTTTTCGTAAAGTTCGGCTTTTATTTTTTGGACTCGAGTCTTATTAGCCTTCGCTTGAGTCGAGTCGAGCCATCTGATGAGGGACTCGAGTAGAGTAGAGTCATTTGCTCACAGTGACTCCAGTCGAGTCATTTACCAATAGGGACTCGAGTCGAGGCGAGTCACTAAAAATTTTGACTCGAGTCGAACTCGAGTCGATTCATTGACTCGAGTCATTACAACTCTGAGATCCGTCATGGAATAGCTGTTCTGTACAATAGCTAGCACAATGCTTTCGCCATTGAAGGGGGGCCTGGTGAGCAGTGGCGTCGCCAAGGGGGGGCCAGGGGGGGCACGTGCCCCCCTGGAAAACCTAGTGCCCCCCCCCCCCGAGTGCCCCCCCCCCATCAAATGCTGGTGCCCCCCTATCCTCTGCAAAATTCTGCGTGTTGTTAAAATCATTACCTCAAAAATAGCAATTTCTTGAGATATCTTCAGATCGAATTTAGCATCAAATGTGGCACCATTTTGCATCTAGCCCATCCTCCGTATGCGAAAATTTTCCAAAGGGGAGGGGGGCACCCCCTCCCCTTAGACCCCTCCCCCAGGACGGCGATCCGTATCCACCTAAGTGACCCCCCCCCCATCAAATGCTGGTGCCCCCCTGTGCCCCCCCCCCCCGCCCCCAGACTGAAAAGTCTGGTGACGCCACTGCTGGTGAGTGTACAGGAATCACGTGCACGGATTCGTCTATAGGCCTAATACTTTTTTAGGAACAAGGCTGTCGTGCCACACTGAGTGTGACAACAGCAATGTACCAGCTGACATGCTATCCTACCGGCCAGTCAAGAGGCAGAATCACTCTCTGACGTTAGAGGTCGTGAAACAAAATACTCCCCAATCAAATTACGGCCATCTCGTCCATAGGGGCTACTCAAGTTATTTTCAACCTCGTTTAGTGGTGGGAGCATACTGCATGGACACCATGTGAACGATCGAGTTTGAATGCCGCCTAGATTTTTCATTCGCTCGTACCCCCCCCCCCCCACCCGCCTGCAATGGAAAAGGCTGAATCGGCCGATGTGCAGATGGCATTATGGGTAACTTATCATGACATTCGCATGCAGCTAGCGCACTACGTATGATAAACAGCTGTAGCGAGTTTCCGCGATATACATGCCACGTCACAGATCACGCAAAATCTATCCAATGAGAGCTCAAAGAAATCAGCCGTTCCCAGCGTCCTGCAGTTGCAGGGTGGGGTACGAGCGTAGATTGTCCACTGACAATGTCCCGGCATAGAGGGCGTCATTCCCACCATTCGCTCAGAGCAAGGGTTGCAGACCAGTACATAAACTACCACAGACTACAATGATAAATGCCCCCACTTCAAAAATTCAGGAAAAATACTCACAACTCGCCAAGGTATTCGAAACACACATCAAATTAAAGCTAATTTCATCATCTTTTATTTTTTTCAATTTTTGGGGGTTAACTGATGACTTTTAGGAGAAATTTCCATCCAAAGATTATCACCCCTTAAAATGGTCCTGAAGCCCATCGCCATTTTGAAAAACGACGCCTACACTCCATTGCAAAATAGAGCGCTTTTGGGCTCCAATTTTATCCAAACTGCACAGAACTACAAGCTCACAGTCCTGTGCACGGCTTCCAACCATATTTTTTTTTCCAAACAAACCCTCAAGTTCATGGCCCGCAATATGCTCAAATAACGAAGAATCGGAGGGCATGCAAAAAGAATTGTTGTCAACAGGGAGAAAACAGGTATTTCTTGGCTAATCGTCCAGATAACGAGTGCTTTGGTTTTTTTAGTTCAGTAGTTTTCAGTAGAATTTAACTTAAATTAAGCAGTTTTTTTTTGTATATACGTTGGTGGCCACGTTTTGTGTAGCGCGCCCTCTTTTGAAAGAACATTTTAGTTGGCTTCATTTCGGCTTGTTTTCTTCGCGCAAATTACATTGTTATGGTTATATCATTTTCATTATCCAACAATTTTTTTCGATATTCAATACAATTGTGTTACATATAACGACCAATAACTAGATAAAATTTCAGTTTGTTACAATGGTTATTTCTTGAGTTATCGTTCCAAAAACCAAGTACGTTATTTTCATTCCATGAAAGTTGACTTCAATTCGGGTTGCGTTTTTCGCGCATACAACCCTACAATCGTTTGGTTATATTATTTGTGTTATTTGACCATTTCTCCCGATATTCGACAGAAATTTGTTTCATATCACATAAAATTAGTATAGGCCCCTATGACATTTCGAAATATCATGACAAGTAGTTCTTAATTGATCGTTTGGAAACCGAGTGTGTTTTTGTGTCATGAGAGTTGACCTAAATTCGTCTCGTATTTTTTTCGCCCTTGATACACTACATTGGTTTGGTTATATCATTTTAATGTTTTAACAATTTTTTTCGATATTTAATACAATTGTGTTATAAATGGCGACCACTAACCAGATAAAATTTCAGTTTGTTACAATTGTTATTTCTTGAGTTATCGTTCGAAAACGTTGTTTTCATTCCATAAAAGTTGACTCCAATTCGGGTTGCGTTTTTCGCGCATACAACCCTACGTGCTTTGGGTTATATTATTTTTGACATTCGACTCATTTCTCCCGATATTCCACAGAAACGTGTAGCATATCACATAAAGGCAATACACGACATTTCGATTCAATTGAACAACTACTTCTTGAGTTATCGTCCGGAAAACGAGTGTGTTTGTTTTTGTTTCCATCTATAAGTTGACTTTAATTCGTATTTTGAATTTTCTTTCAAAAGAGGGCGCGCTTCACAAATAGTGGTCCCCACTTTAAGAATTTTTATCAACAGGGAGTAGGCCGGTTTTCAGCAGGCTTTAACTTAATCATGAGCAGTTTTTTTTTCTATACGCCAATCAGAGCGTGAATTTATCAGCCCTTCCCAGCGTCCTGTTTGCAGGGTACGAGCGAAAAAAATTATGTTCCTAAGAACAAAATACTCCTTTAAGTTTTGACATATTTGAGAAACAAAATTTAATTCATTGCTTTACTGGTTTTTAAAACTTGTTTATTTCTTTACTGCAACTTCTCATCCACCCCATATGCCACCCCGAAACTGAAATATTTTGGACTTCAACATTCCAGCCATCCCGGTTAAGTCGATCCGCAATGCAGATGGGGCGGGGCGGGGAGGGATGTACCATCCCCGACTGACCATCTCATCTTAAATTATTTACAATGGGGAAAACATTCCCAAATTTCTTTAAGTTCCCTGAATTGCCAACATTTCAATTCACTGTTTCAGGCATTTGGTCTTTTATGCCGGTTGACTCAACGCCCCCGACCCCTCCCTCATGAACAATCTTGGATTTAACACCCCGAGCCCGCCCACCCTCCTACCCGCCTTTGGAAAATCATTTTTGCACTATTTGGATTGACGATGCAGTGGATTTGAAACGAGGCGTCTACGCTGTTTTGCATTTCTCTTGCATTAAGCCGATAACGGATTATCGCGACTGCGCAGTAGGTGCTCTCCGTATAGTCGGAGCCTCGAACAATGGCTGTACTCTAAAGCATACTTGGCACTGGGTACCATGCAGTCTTCTTACGTCTTTTCAACCTCGTTCTCAGAGTAAGTATCCGTACCGTTATTAGATATATCTTTTAACTGCTGTGCCCTCCAGCCCTGAGATGGATGAAAATATATGACACGATGACATCATCAGTTAAAAATATCTGTATCGAGTTGGCGACGAGCGGGTGAACTCTGAAAATGATTGCAGAAATTTCCTTATTTCACGCGAAATTTTGTACAAATCTCTCATGTTTCCAACGAGAATTCTTCGAAAACGCTGGGTGCTGGCGGTGATATTTCTGTTTTCGTTGTGTTACTTCTTGAACAGCACATTTAATCAGGTAGGCCCTAACTAACATTCCATCTTGTTCAGATCAGACATTCATTTTTTTAAACATGTTAAGACATATTTTCCATGTTTTCTTTTCAATATGATTCACTGGCCAGTTGGGGGGGGGGGGGGGGGGGAGAAGAGTTCCATACTGTGCCACCAGCCCACCAATCAACTTCTCAAGTAATATGTTATGAGTATGACCAGTGAAAAGTACCAAAAGTTGTAAATCCTTAAAATACTTTAACTTTTTCTGTCATGGACATGGCCCATCATGCCCATACTGCCTAGCTTGAGTAACTCCAGCTCTAATCATGCTAATGCGATAGGCATTAAGCTGGAGTTACTCAAGCTACATACTGCCATAGACTTAGTGCAGGAGGTCTGAGTGGTGGCCCAGTATGGAATTCTTTCCCACGGGGCCGGGGGTGTCCATGTGTATATCATTGTCACTGTGTATCTTAAAATGAAATTAAAGATTCAAATAAAAAGATAGCCCCATAAATGTGGCCTATTTACTGGACTGCCTCCGTAAACATAGGCCACACATCCACATGTACAAAAATCGTGTCGACGGAGCCAAATTTTGATTTTCACATTTAGGCTTAGTTTGTAGGTTTTTTTTGCTTTAGAAGCATACTCACCCTCTTTATAGGCTAATCAGAAAGTGCTGCCTTTTTCAGATGTATATTTTTCGTGAAATTTCCAGATTCATTTTTACACGTTTGCGTATCAAAATTTCAACATGAAATTTCACAAAAATTAGACATCTGAAAAAGGCAGCACTTTCTGATTAGCCTGTAAAGAGGGTGAGTATGCTTCTAAAGCAAAAAAACCCTACAAACTAAGCCTAAATGTGAAAATCAAAATTTGGCTCCGTCGACACGATTTTTGTACATGTGGATGTGTGGCCTATGTTTGGAGGCAGTCCAGTAAATAGGCCACATTTATGGGGCTAATAAAAAGATTGAACATCTTCAACATATGTTCAAAGAATGATCATGATGTGAAATGTGATGTTGCTTGTTGGATTCTTGGAAACATTAATTGATGTGTTTTGGACGATGGCAATTGGCATGGAGCAAGGATTAGATAATAGATATTTGGACATATATATTTTGCTGGGTAAACATTTTGCTTGCTTGTGGCTGCCATCACACATGACGATTGGCTACCATTTCCACACATCTCTTGATCTCCTGCCTCCAAGCTGTTCTGTCCAGAGTGAGACGCATGGCTTGTACAGAGCTCATTCCTGTCCATTCTTTGATGTTGACAAACCATTGTTTCTTTTGACGACCCCTCTTTCGTGTTCCCTCTGCCATTCCTTCTATGAGATTGAGAGTCAATAAACTTCCGCTGCCTCTGATGATATGACTATATAGAAAATGTGTAGAAATAGAGAATACATGTAGTTACCAGATGTTTGTTTGACACAGTTGATAGATGCAGTAGGTGCATTGAACTGGTTCTTTCATGTGCCTGTCTATTTTCTTGCACATGTTGTATTGCATATTTTCACAATCTTTTATGTCTTAAGTTTTGGACTTGTCCCTGTATCGCTCGTACACAGTTCTGAGAGTTCCAAATTTTCGGACTTACTCATAACCAGGAATATGGCTTTGTGTTGTGTAAGAACGCAATATAATTATATCCAATTTTTTTTCCCATTGTTGACAGGAAGTTCCTATCGGCGTAATCAGTGACCGGTACGGGGACCTTCCCCACACGACCCTGCAATTACAGCTGAGGGGACGTGGTGAGGTCGCCGCACAGAGTAACTCCTCCACTTGTAAGAACTCTCGGCAGGGACACAGTCTGGTTGTGGATAACAGAGGTACAACACTGTACATGTGTTAATAATAAAACTAAACTCTCCAAGATCCTTCAAAATCCACCAGGAGGGTTTAATACAAGGATCAGGTCGACTCCATCACAAGTCCCTAACAAGTCCATCACAAGTCCTCCAGTCCAAGTTCAGCTCCGAAGCTACATGTATTGAAATGAGCTTTGACAAAGGCATTCCTTTGTTATTGTTCATCCACTGTTACTTGTGACTGGATTTGTGACTGGACTCGCGAATGCGCTAGCCCATAGAATGGACTTGTCAATGGACTTGTGACTGGACTTGTGATTTTACTTGTGACTGGACTTGTGATGGACTTGACTACATCCCTGGATGGTTAAGAGGATTTTGCCAGATTTAGGACGGTCGAGCCCAAAAAAGCATTACTTTACGTTGTGCTTTTTGCCTCTTTGAACGTCTGAAGACTAAGAACGTGCCACTGGTCTCTAGTGTTGGGTTTTTGAGGATTCATGAAGGGTTTACAGTTAGGCTTGGCCTCGGTTGCTATGCCCTTCTCGGGTGTTCAAAACGTCATATCCCACATCACAGCAGTCATCAATTGTTTTGTTATGCCTATGTCTTGGACTGTTTGGATTTTCATGTAAAATTCACGAAAACAAACAGCACTAAACACAACAATCATGACAATCGAACGTCAACTCACATACATGTCGCATGCTCGAAACAGCTGATCATCTGCTAGTTCGCTGCTCCCATTCATGTGTGAAAAGAAGGGGGGGGGGAGATGGACAAATATTTTTGGTCAGCTTTGGAGAATTACCACCCTTGGTTAATTGCCTGATGAGACCACTGATCCTGATAAGATTGAGTTGAGGTGGAGTTTGAATCTGCCGCTCCTCCTCAGCTTTTGAGATTGATAGAATTACAAAACTAGTTTGCGTTGAAATATTTCCTAAATTTTCCTGTCGTGTTCATCAATGCAGGTTTTGTGTGCCCAAGGGAAGCTGTGCTGGTCAACTCCTGCTGCGACCCAGAGAACCCGCAGTCGCTGCGCTACACCTGCGAAGGCTGCCGAAGCAGCACCAACTGCTGCTCCGTCTACGAGAACTGCGTGTCTTGCTGCATGCACCCAGAGAAGGTAGGACAACCCTGAATAGAAAGAGAACTAAGGTTTGGGAATTCTGTATTAATTGATGGTGTCTTGGGTGATTTTGTCTACCCCTGTGCCCAGGTGGACAGATTTTTCAAGAAACATTGTTGTAGCCGAGTCTAGTGGTGTGCATTTACGGGTTATACGGGAACCGGGTACACTATTGAAGTAAAGCACGGGTACCGGGCAACCCGTAAAAGACGGTATTATCAAATATTAAGACAAAATAAAAACTGCATTCTGGTAAAATTTTCTCTATTTTCAGGAACTCTAGTCCTTAACAAAACTTGGCAGTGTGAATATTTGCGGTGTATGAAGGTCTTTACAGCTTTATGGTGTAAACTGCAACTTTTGCAAGCATCGTCTGTCATTTTCCTAAATATTACTTCTATTTTGCAGGAGGCGATAGTGCAAGGAGTTTTAGGCAAAGCCAGTAACACCTTGAAGCTGTTATTCCGAGCGGTGAACACACATTACGACTTTTGCCTCACCAAGTGTCGCACATCATCCGAGGTAGGTTTGGGTTGACGTAATCGCATGTATGCAATCCTGTTTTGGACTAAATGGCTTTTGGGCTTTGTTTTAAAGCAACTCCGGGCCCCTTTGAACCATTAAATGGTTACTGGAAAGCAACAGTTGTTTCAGGCTGCAGTTTTTGACCACAGGCTCTGAGGCAGTTTGGTCTTGAGATTTTGGACCTGGTAGATCTTGCTACACTGAGCAGGCTAGTCATTTAGACATGTTACATGGTTTTGCATTTCTAGTAAATGAACCATTTCTGTTAACTTACTGATCTGTGTGTTTCTTTTGTTTTTTGTTCTTGTCCAGAGCGTGCAGCACGAAAACACTTACAGGGATCCAGTAGCCAAACACTGCTTTGGAGAGAGCCCTCCAGATCTCAAACCGTCCAGTTAATCCACCCAACTCGCGTCAGTCCCCCCCCCCCCCTTTCAATTCCTCTTCTGGAAGTACACCCTACCATCAAATTTGTGGAACATTCCAGATCTCGTAAGACAGTCCAACGGAAGCAGTCAAAAGTCCTCTGTGGATCGTGTGCCAATGTAAATGATACTACAGTACTACCAGTAACTACTTAAGTAAAGCAACTACAGTATTTAAAGCCAGCAACAGCTCAGAAGACGCTGCTTGTTAACACTCTGGATGAATTTCCACACACTGATGAATTGAGGTGGTAAAATCACTAATGCGATATCAGCTTAACTTCAGATGAACAGAGTGGCAGAACATTTGAAACAAGAAAACGTTAGGCACCATCACGAATGACGTTATCTTCAGCATCAAACACATCTGCATCTGAGTTTCAACACGGCACTTCATTATCAAGCAAGGACATGCCATGTGGACAGACCCTGCCAAAACAGGGAACCTGAAAGTCCTTCTTTATTTTACTACGAACAAGGAATTGAAATTTAAACTGTATTAACATGTGATGCCCCTGCTTGGAAGTTGGATGTCATCCATGGATATGTGCAATAGACGATAAAAGAGACGACGACTTGATGGTCTTGACCTTCAGAACTTTTTAAGTCTTGAACTTAATACCGCTCTGTAGTTGATAGTTTATTGAACGTGGTTTTAAGAATTGTATGTGTACGTTCTAAAGTTGGACATGGTGACCAATATCGGTACACACTTATTTTGAAAGCCAGTACATGTACGCACAGATCAAAGTGTGCTGCTTATGTTGTGATCAAGACGGAAAACTGTTGCGACAAAAATGGGAAGCAAAGCTGGACCGATTCAGCCCCTAGAGGGCATGCTTTCGGAGCAGAGCAGGTACCGTCCATTCAACCTGTACTGGTTGGACTCCGCATTGCACGAGACACTATTACCTGGGTCGCCATGGGAACAGGTCAGTCATGTGACCTAACCTGTCTGTGTGCACTAACGGTCATTTTGTTCTTTCATGCAATTTTCATCTCATCTGTAGTGTTTTCTTTTCTCCACTTGGAGCCTACTCTATAATATGAATCGTATTTTACACTTCCGTACATGTTTGTGTGGAACACCTCAGGTTTTGGCTGTAAGAATGTGGCAGTACATGTATGTATTTTGAAAAACAGCTGCTGCAGTGCTTCCGCTAAAACACATGTTTCATGAGGATATTATCTTCAAGCAAACTTGACTCCTCGAACAAGAAGGGTCGATCCATCGCAACAACATTGTGATATACCACATCACACGGTCCATATCGTACTCGGCTTATTGCCCCATTCCAAGGTGTGAGCAACATTCCAGCTGCATGCACTAAACCTCAAAAAGTAAAAGGTTCGTGTAAAGTGTGCTACAGTTAGTTCCAACTTTACTGTGCGTCCAGTTTGTTTGAAGATATATTCGCTCTCGCGCTTGCGCTTGTGCAGCACTGAAAAAGGTAGTGCGCCTGTGTCTCACATACCACTTGGCCTCATGGTATGTAGGACACAGATGCACTACATGATTCTGTGTTGAACCGCGTTCGCGGTTTAACTTATATGTATTCACTTGTGCAGACTATGTTTATCAGTTTCTTAGTGTATTTCTTTAAGATTGCGGTCAAATCGATCAAGAGTTTTTCAAAAGTCAATGTTATTAAAAAGTGAACACTGATAAAAAGGAACAAATAGCTTGTCTTCTGACTTGCATTTGAAACCAAATACTATTTTTTGATTGATTTAGTCTTTTGATTGACTTTTGATTAACTTTTGTTTGACTTGACTATGTGTCTGTTTTGCTGCATGTTTTCATCTTCAAAAAAGGTATTTATTCCAGCAAATCAACAGAGATTTGTCTATTTTTGAAACTTCTCTGTGAATAATCGTGCTGGATAAAAATGGTTACAAATGTCATAGATTAAATTGGAGTTCTCAATTTGGCATATTACAGAGCGGGACTTGATTGGGAATAATTTTTTTCCAAACACAAAGCCTGAAGATATTGAAATACGACTGGTTTCAGTTTTTCCCCTAGATTGCAGGGAAACAAATGTTTACAAATGACAACAGTGCCAAAATATTCTGTACTTAAAAAACATACATGTTCACACAGCAAGTTCAAGGGCGGATCCAGATCCAAAATTTTTTTTTGGGGGGGGGGAGGGGCCAGGAGGGCTCGATTATTATTTTTTTTCAAAACGGGGAAGGTGTTTTTTTCAATTTTTCCGATAAAAACGTTTTTAAAAGTAGATAGCATTAACTAGTTTATAGTGTAGTCCACCCAGCAAATGTACAGTATTTGCCAAGGATATCCCATTCCCTTACTATAGACATGAAATGAGTGCAAAACATCCAGTAATCGATGTAAAAACAAATTGGTCACATGATAGCACACCTTTGTCAGCTTTCTTAGATGTACATGTAGTGGCCACACATTCTGAATAAAATGAACTATTTTTCTTGTAGATTCTTTGTGCGGTTTCCTCTCATTCTTCTGTGAACTCTCATTCTTTCTCTTAAATGTTTTACATGCTTAAAATTGCATTCCCCATGCTCTTCAACAAAATTGACTTTTGCTTGAAAAATGTGTTTGGTTGTTTTTTGTTTCCTTTCTTGAAAATGGTAATTTGAAAACAGGGAGGCGAGTGGGGAGTTTTTTGGGGAATTTGTGGCATAATGATCATGGACATGAAACATTTATATAACAACATGAAGGGACTTGGTCAAGACTTCATTCCTAGGGCCCTACATTATTGACACAAGGACAAAAATCTACGGATAGATCTTTCTTAAATTGTGTTGTAGGGTCATCCAGTTGATGATATGGTATCGATGAAAATTACATAGGAAACGCATTGTGCAACCCAGCTTTTCATGCTCATCCTTCAGAATTGAGATCATGTAGATGAATATGTCAATCACAAAAAATAAGTTATGGGCTCCGTGTGCGAAAAAGAGGGGGTGCTTTTTACCACTTTAGAGATCCCAGTAGACGGGACACATTGTGTGCATGTAGGTTGCGAAGTATGCACCACTGATTTTAATCAGAATGTGCACAAAGCCACAGCATCTTTGTGTGAGCTCTACGCGTCGTCGGTGAATGTCCCTCCCAGTTGCCTCCCCCAACTTTGCCTTTCTTATCATTGATGGGTTATTTGTGCATTGAGCCCATACCTGTGTTGCTTATTCAATGGCTAGTCGCTTGACTTGAGATTGGATGACTTTTGATTGACTTTCCATTACTACTCTGTCATCGTTACAACTTTAAACCTAAACCTTTGCAAATAATTGGAGAATGAACCACAGATTTTGTGGACGACAGACTCCACATAGCTTAAGACGTACAAGACCATTTCCACAGTTCCATACATGTGTGTACTCCGCAGGTGCACGCTCATATCTGTGCAGAGCTAGCCAGGAGTCTACGGTCAGATCTCGGAAACCTGGAGGAGGAGAGGAAACAGATGATCCTTCATCTACTTGGGCCGGAGTTTGTCAAACGATACATGCCTGGCGTGCAGCACAGGCCTGATGTATTGGTAGGTATTTGTCACGTTGGTTTGCCTACGCAGCATAACTTAGCCAGCTTTTGTGTGACGGGTAGGTCTTGTAAAATGACTTGTTTTTAGCTGATGGTAATAAAGTGTCTCCAATTCACCGTTCACATGGATACACTCAATCTGATAACAAGGATTCTCTAACATATTACTTTTCCATTCTTGTTTTTTGGCTGGGGCATAGAGTATCATAATCTGTACGAGCTGAACTTGGTTCAATACAGGTTATGGGAGAGGGTAAATAATGTCAATAATGGTACCTTTGATATTTGGAATGAATAAGTATAATTTATTATAAAACATCTGAATAAATCCCCGTCATCTGACTGGTGGATTGTTGATCACCTGTCATTGAATTATTCGTCTCAACGCACGGTGCGTCTGTACTGCAAATATAGAAGTTCTATTCCATGGGTTCATTACTGCCGCTAGTGACATGGAACAGGGATACGACATGCAAGAATCGCTGTTTGTTCTCCTAACTGAAGATGAAATATTGAACCTCGTAGGTGATGCTGACGCTGCGAACACAAAGAAGCAAGTGATATATGCTGCCAAACAATTAGACCAATTTGAATATGATAGTTCTGAGCTTATCGAGAACAGTTTTTAACTTGATTAAATTGGATATTGAAAATGAACCATCAGTTTTTGTCATCTGAGAAAAAAGAGTAGGATATTGATGTAATTACCAGTCTGAAAGTCAAGCAATCAGATGACGAGGATTTATTCAGTACAATGGAGAGAATAATTTCACTTTGTGAATGGAAAGAATATTTTCAGTCGGCTTTGTCTCGTGGAATGGAACATTTCATCTGTCACCTCATGAAATTATTCTTACCATTGCACTCGCAATCATTCATTATTTGTATACCGTTGGTCCACTGATTTTCTATCTACTTGAATGGCAACTCTCTGTGATCCTGTTTCAAAATTCTAATTTGGCCTTATTAAAAAATGTTTGTAGGATCCGTCAGTCCTTGGAGTCGAACTAAAGAAGCAGTTGCAACGAACCACTCAACTGCTCCTCAGAGACAAACTTGACAGCATTGTCAGGGAGCTTGGCTACGCCCCTGCGTCAAGCAATGCCTCGACACCGGTCACCGACAGACAGCATAGCGAAGATGGGCATGGGGACCAGGGAGTATCGGACATACAGGCGGTGATCGACCATGCGCGGGGGATCTTTGAGACAGGTTTGGAGAGGAACCTGGTGATACAAGAGGTGATAGAGAAACAAGAGCCACAGGATGTCGAAGGTTCGTTTTACACAAAGTAACGAACTCAATTACAGATCAGGTCACGTGATCAGGGGATGAACATTAAGGGAATCTGCACCTTGTTTGACCAAGGGTTACCGTGTTCAGTGGAGTATCCAAAGGGGGGCAGGGGGGCACCTTGCCCCCCCCCCCCGACAGATTTTTTGACAAACATTTTTTTCAGCAATTATTTCAATAAATGGTTAGAGAGTTCTGACAGCAATCTCAGAAAAGAAATCCCGCTCAAAAACCATTATTAACAATGCGCCATGAAAATGGACATATTATTTGTAGTATGCATAATAATGGTTTGTTTTGAGGAACGCCCCCATTTGGAAGATGGGTACCCCCCCCCCCCCCTGTTGTTAAGTGATTTATTTATTCTTTCATTTGTGACAGAGAATTTCAAATGATCTTCTATTTTGTTATTTTTACAAAAAGATTTGCCCAGAAGCGGTGTCAATCTCTCCGGCAGAACCAGTGATCACCTCGGCAGGTCCCTCATCACTATCCTCCAACGAGACCCGAGTCGACTCGACAGCATATGCCAGCGTCTGTCAGGGAAGCAACTACCTGCGACATTGAGGAGCTACCTGTGGGCGGAGATTCTACTGCAGCTGGTGGAGGATGGCGGGAGCGGAAGAGAAAAGTAAGCAGTGTGGTAGGCTGAGTCCATCACAAGTAACAAGTCATCACAAGTCAAACATGGTCAAGTCATCAGGTCCCAAGTCAAGTCCCAAGCCATTTAATTGCCTTTGTCAGGGTTCATCCTCTGTTACTTATGACTGGACTCATGAACGAACTTGAAAAAAAATTATTTCTAGTTCTCAATTGATTCTTTTTCACTAGCACTTGCGAGAAACTTCTACATAGGCGTAGCCAGGGAGGGGGGGGGGGATGGTGTTAAGGCGGGTATTAACCCCCCCAATATTTTGTAAAGACTGCCTTTTTTCAACGGGGTAACCCCCCCCCCCCCAAAAAAAATAATTTGTACAGAGTGCCCTTTTTTTACAAAGTGCCCTTTTCTTTCTGAACAAGTGCCCAAAAAAGAAGTGGTGGCCTTTTTTGTGGCATCTGCCATTTTGAGTGCCTTTTTCAGAATTTCGCACATGTATCGCCCTGAAAAGCACCATATATTGGCCCTTTGTGTGCATAATTGTCGGTTTTGATCAGCGCCCCATCGACAGATGGTACCAGTCACAATAAAACTTTCATTGTTCGATTTGTGAAATTCACTGTACTTTTGCCTTTGTTTGAATATGAATCATCAAAATGAAAATCACTCTGGGATGTGGAAAATGTGTTGGTTGTTCTAAGCCCAATGTAAATACATAGCTAGAATTCAGACGGTAGTTGAGCAATGTGATTTCTTTTTCTCGCACAGGCCAACAGAAAAATCTATCAGGAAGAGGTTTGCAAAGGCCGTGTCAAAGGGCAAGGTGGACATGAAGATTACCAAGGCAACAGAGTGTCCAATAGGAGGGCTCATAGAAACAGCTGTCAAAGAGGTAAAAGAAAGTTTGTCATGTACAATAGACCCCGCCCAGTTGACGCTTTGACCAATCACAGCTGTTATTAATGTCTGATGTGCATGGCCAAAAGTCTGACAAGCGGGCCTGTATGTACCGAAAATACAGTGGGCGGGGCTTAATTAATGGGTCTATTGGTGAAAGGGGGGGGGGTGGTTGGTTTGAACGCCCAAAATTGTGTTTACTATGCTGTTATACAACTGTTATGTTTTTAGGTTTTATGCTGTTCTAAAGAGGAAATGGGAAAACTCAGCAGTGACAAGTGGTCAGCAGTCATGCAGTTCCAAATGTTTAATATATGAAATCCAAACATTAGCACACAAGTAATGATTGCAAATTGAGTGGGGGGAGCTAATTGTCCAATAATCACAGTAGAAGCTGAATCGCGAAGGATGCAGGCTGCAGCTACAACTTGGTCGGGCAGGCTGAAGGCATGCAGAGGCACATTAGTTGCCATACGACTCACGTTTGACCACAGAGCACAGCCAGAGATAGAATGGCACGAGAGAGAATCAACAGACAACACACATATGACTCAAGTGGGGAATCGAACCCGGGACACAGCGGTGAAAGACAAATGCTTTATGTGCTGCCATGCGCCACCCATGCCTTGGAGATACCTGGCCTTTATTTTGACAAACTAAAACACTTATTTCTTACTACTCATTGGATTTACAAGTTCTCTTAAGTTTAGTTTGTCATAATTTTTTTGATTTAACTTTTGCCAGAAATTTGACGCCACTCCATGCATGCAGGCCCAGAGACTTGACAAGTTCCACACGCAGGCCAGGGAAGCGCTGAATATCCTGTATACGTACAACCGGAGCTACGAACCATTCCTGATTTCCTGGCTGTTCCCTTTGCAATTGGCATTCCAGGAACACCAAAGGAAAGGTGATTAATTGCATCCATGAAAAAATATAATATGTAATGAAACTGTTATAAATGTACATCTCTCTCCTACTTTTCTTACTTTTTCATTTTTTTTTAACCTTGCTCCTCCTTTTCCTACTTTTTTGTTGAATCCATACTTTTTCTGTCTTTTTTCTACATTTTTTTGTCCCACAACTCCGAAAACCGAAATCTCATTAAATATTTTTCATAACAGTGTTACACACTGTCATAAGTCACACAATGAAGGGCTTAGGCGCATGTGTACTGCAACAGTACTTCAGCTGTTCTTCCAAGAGCTTATTTGAGGATGGAGCACAAGTTTTGTGAGTAGAAAACATGCCAAATGAGGCTTATGATGCTGTGGACATGCGTGAGTATCGACAAAAACTACTGCTGAAAGCCCGCAAAAGTCTTACTTTCATCCTGATTTTGTCCTCAAAAGTCCTGCTTTTGTCCTTTTATTTTTTTTATTATTTTGATCCTACTGTTCTCCTACTTTTTCACCTGGGTCCGCTTGAAAGCCTGCATTGTGTGCAATGTCATACAAAATATCAAAGCTGTTTACTTGATGAGATTTCTCAAAATTGCTGCCGTACTGCTGGTTTTTTTTTTGTAGAGGAGCACCCCTATGAATTGGCGCTGTACCTAGATCTCCTGCTCACCTATGCCTTTCCAAAATGGCCGGAGATATTTGCAGTTGCTGAACAGGCAATGGCTCGGCTAAAGATGGCTGACACGGAGTTGTACGACCACCTACAGGAATGTGCCATCACCAATGTTAAAGTTAACCCTCAGGTGAGAATAAAATGAAACTGTTTATGTATTCATTTCATTTTGAATTTTTCTTCTTTAAGAATCTGTGAAATCAAAATTAATCCATATGCTGATCAAGTAAGGTATTAAACAAAAATTTGGCAGTTTTAAAATCAATCAAAGACAATACATTCAAGTATTTGTTGCAACAAAATATTGATAAAAATACTTGCATGTCTACATGAAAAAGAAACTCTTGGAAAGTCATGAGCAGAATACACTGGCCCGTCGGCAAGGGGGGGGGGGGGGGGGGCATGGTGGGGCCGGGCCCCGCCTTGGTGAACAATTGCTCCCCCCCCCACGGCAAAAGCCATACATGTGTATTTGTGTATTTTTTATGGTAGTGGGCCCCCCTAGTTGGTATTATATAACCGACATACAGATCCTTGTCAGTTGATTGGTGGAACTCACATCACATTACATTCGTTATTGCTCCCATTCACGCCGGGGCTCAAAATGTTCCATTCGCCCATGGGGAATGGGAAATACTATTGAACAGTTAGGATCATTCTTGTTCCATGACGCGGTATTTGTGTGCAAATGCTTGCTAGTGTGCGCGTTCAGCGTTGCGTGTAGCGCGTATTGTTCCAAAGAGCCAGTGCTACAGGGGTGGTTTGGAAGAGAGAAATACATTTTCCACCAATTTTGTATTGAAATAAAAGTTCAAATATATATCAAATGACAAGGATCTATTTGTCAGTTATATAAAACAACTATTGAGTGGCTCAGCGTGGAATGGGAGGAATATTATCACTTGGTAAAATCTGGACTTTTCCAGTTCACTCGGCTTCTCCTCGTGAAATCGAAAAGTCCAGATTTTACCTTGCGATAATTTTCTCCTATTCCACGCTGAGCCACTCAATATTTGTATACTGCGGCCCCCCACCCTCGTGGTCAGGGCTGGCGACAGGCCTGAGCATACAATTGATTTCTGTTTCAATTAAGATATATATTGTAAGTAAGTAGTAGTGAGGTCTATCACAGGCCAATGTGGCCCATCAGGCCCGCGTTTGTCTCCAGTTTCAGTGGCGTGAAATGACTGAGAACATTTCTATTCCCCCTGGATGGTATGCTAGTCCATCACAGGTTACTCCCCAGCTAATGCTGGTACCCATTTGTACTCCTGAGCGGATCAGGGTGAAGTGGCTTGCCCAAGGACAAAACATATGGCTAGCAGTTGGATTCAAACCCCAGACCCTCTGATCCTGAGTCACGAACCCTAACCACTAGGCCTTCCTCCCTCCTCTAGATACACTGTATTCACATGAATTTATTCAGAAAACATAAAACAATCAAACAACAGTCATCAAAATACAATAAGCTTAGATAATCAGTTTGATTTTTTTTAAACTTCAGAATTTTTCATGTTCTCCCGACTGAAGTGTTTATTCAAACTTTCAAAATTTGAATATTTATAGTTTGAATATTTCTGTGTTTTTTTTCGCAAGGATTTTTTGGTGCATCTTATACGTGCAGAGAAGAAGAAAGCAGCTGCTTTAAGTTGGAGCACCAGCACTGATGATCCCACGAACTCCTCAACCGGCTCTATGCCCAAGGAATTGTTGGCAAACCCACTCATATTCCTACGCAAGTGGGTCGGGGAGGTAAAATAAGCATTGCTAATGTTGCTAGCATTGTGACTTTTGGGTGTCAACAAAACACCCCTCTAGCTATTCAATGGTAAGGCCCTCTGGTAAACAACTCCTTATATGGAGATTGGCGCGCGCGTACTGCGTGATGTCGCGCAGAACACAGATATACCAGTGTAGTGTGAATTTAGGACTAAGAAATACTGACTCACTGGTAGTATTGTGCATGCCTTCATGAGGATTGTGAAGGTTCAACCAATAAAACGGTGCTTGCACCGGATTTCATAGGAGTCCAAATGGCATTTGACACTGAAAAAGTGTTTAAGACCAGCCAGCCATGTCTTGATCATCCGTTTAAAACCGGCCACGTGATGGGCTCTCGACCAATAGGAGTGGGTAAACTGTCTTAGGTATTTATGAATTGTGATTATGGCATTGTGAGGACTTTGGATGTATTCAACTACAACACTAGTACTGGAAATCATTGTGAAAGGTGTCCACTCTACTAATTGAAATTTTGTTTGCCTAATGTTTAGAGTTTCATTTGGTTGCTCCATCTTAATAACCAGAAATAAGCTGGAATTGTGTTATGAAATGACTCACGACGCATTACTAGTTATTTTTGTAATCAGTTTTGATGCCATCACCGATTTGTCTGCAGGGTTTTGTGGGAGTGCTGAACAGCCCTGCTGTGATGTACATATGGGACCAGTGCTTCATTGAGCGTTGGGACCGGCAGGTTCTAGAAGACGCCTGCCTGGCATTGCTGCTGCTGCTGAAAGAGAAATTCATGAAAGCGATAGACTACCACCAGATGAGACAGGTGAACCTTGAACCTTGTTTAAACGGTGGGGTGCCGTGGCCTAGTAGTCTGGAGCATTGAACTCGTGGGTTGCGCATAATTTGGCAGGTCATGGGTTCGATTCCAGCCTGGGTTTGCGGTACGTGTGCCCTTGGGCAAGGCACTTTGACACTCATTGCTTCTCTCCCACCGAGGAGTAAATGGGTACCTGTGAGGTCAGAGATGGTTATTGTGGTTGATTTAGCTGCTTTGCGCCCAAATGGCTGCATCGAGCTGTATACTCCCCAGGGAGCTGAGATGGTATTTGGAATGTTTCATTGGCCCAGTGATCAGGGGCAATAAGCGCATTGATCTTAGTTTAAAAAGCACTTTATAAGTACGAATTTTTGTTATTTTTATTATCATTAATTCAGATTTGTCTCCATTAGCTTTACATGTAAATGACTGTCCCTTCATTTTTGGACATGGAATGTCAGAACAAGTTAAAACTTAAAAAAAATTAAAAACTTTGTATCAATCAAAACAAATGTTTAATAATAACTGGTATTTTAATTAGGTCTTTGAATGTGTTCACATTGCCCTCGATATTATGACTTGAAAACCCTAGTAATCCTGCATATGTTGTGACTTCTTTGTTTCAAATGTCCATATTTGTTTTATAAAATACATATGATTTGCTGAAATTTTCCCAGGTGTTTCTTAACGAGCCGTCAAAGATATTGACCCTTGACATGGTGAGATCCTATCAGCATATCCGAGAGGGGCAACCACCAAGTGCTGTGCCCAACTTCAACAGGAAGAACGTACTGTAAGTTTCATGTTTTACAACGTTTTAGAGATTTACATCAAACTTTTTAATATCAATTTTATACATTTCAGTTTTGCTTTCTAGTTTTCTGTTAGCTCTTGTAAAAGTAAGTCAATAGGTCAACTCAAACTGACACTCACTAGAGACGGAAAGTCAATGTATTGCCTTGAATGACAGCACATTGTTGTAGAGTAACGGCAATTTTGGGGTATTTTAGAGTATTAAAGGAGGTTTAATGTCTAAGACAGAACCTATTAACCACGATTTCTAATTAATGATTCAGAGAAATTATCCAAAACTCAGTTCCGATGTACAGCCCCACCGTGTATTCAAACCCACAACCTCTTGTTTACAACTCAACTTGTTTACAACCTCTTGTTTACAACTCCACATATTTTGTATACATTTAACTCTGATTGTCTTTTTTTTATCTGGAAAATAAAGTGAATTGAATTGAACTGAATTGAATTGAATTGAATTGAACTCAACCACTGAGCTTGCCAGGGTCAGCTGGCATGTTGCTCAGTGTTCATTATCATCAGTACGTAGATGGTAGATTTTGACAGACTCAACTGCAGCCACTACCAGATCCTGATCAGGGGTGACTGTGATGTCACGTAGATTGCTGTGTCCCTTGATGGCTCGTCCAATGAACATTCCGTCGGGACCGAAATGCAGGATCTCACCCAGCGATGGCCAGTCGCCGCACACGGCAACGTAGATGCTGCCCTCATTGTCGCAGCACACACCCATTGGGCCCCAGTCAGGCATGTCGTTGCTGATGTCTACCGAGAATATGATTCCGCCGTTGTAGTCCATCGACAGCAGCTTCTTCTTCCCCCAGTTGGTGTAGATCAGCCTCTTCCTGCTGATGGTCAGGTATGAGTTGATCATCGGGGCCGGCAGCATCTTGATGAAGGATCCCTTGGGGTCGTGTAGATGTATCAACTCGGTGTCCGCGTAACCCACCGCTATCAAATTAGTGCTTTTGTCCACTGCAAGGCATGTTGGCTGTCTATCTGGACCTCCGCCCGGGGTGAACTGATCGAGGAGCTGATAATTCCGATTGAAGACCTTGACTTTCGGACCGTCCAGGACAACGATCTGGTCATCGGCATTGACTGCAACGTTCCTGGGATCAGTGAGACCTTTGATTTCCAGTCCTTTTGGATTGACGCAGAGTTTAGATTCACCCTCCGGAGAGGGAGTGCATGTTATCAGCTGTTTGTGATTGATGTCTGCAACAAGAATCTTGCCGCTAGAGAATGCCGAGACGTACCAGGCAACGGTGAATTCAGAATAATCTGGCTGGAATGTCCACAATTCCTTCTTCAAGTGCCACTTGTTCTCTTCCTCGTGCGATTCCTCACCTACCACCTTTCCTTTCAGTTCAGTTTCTTCCAGCACCAATCTTCCGAGTGACCCCTCGTCCCCATCTTCAAACTCCATGATGGACAGATGGGTGGGCACTTTCTCTGGCTGCTTGGATATCAGCTCTCTCATGTTATCCAACAGCTTCTGCTGGAGTTTCAGAATCTCGTAGCAACTAGCTTGAGCCACTATGTTGTCCACTTGTTTCTGCTTCCGTTCTGTGCTGATCACCTCTTTGGTGTACGCAGCCTTTGCGGACTTTATTATCCCGACTCTTTCGAAGTACGTTTGCTTCAGCTCGTTCAGGATCTTTTCCTCCTCTGCTCGAATCCTAGCGACCTCCCTGTCAGCCTTTTTGGTGATCCTTTTCTTGGTGTTGAAACACGTGATGTTCAAATCCAATAAGGACCTGCGCATTTCATCCGCAGCCGTGGCAAACGCTGCTTGGCATTTCTCAGCCCTCGCCACCATTTCTGCAACAATTTGCTTGCATTTGTCAGAAGCTTCCGGTAGACCTTTCAGCGAGTGGGCGTGACCACTGTGATCGGTAACAGAGCAGCGCCTGCACAGTAGCTGATTGCAGGTGTCACAGTAGACTTCGAGTTTCTGATCTAGGTGCTTACTACAGTTTGGAATGTGCTCCCTCAGTTTGCTCTTGTAGGCAATCTCTCCTGATTCAAACTGAGCCAGTGAGTAGATGTTATGAGCCGTGGCGGCCAAGCTTTCGTGTGTTTCCCGGCACTCCTGACAGAGAAATTGATCACAGTCCATGCATCTTGACATGGCTGGACTCTTCCCATCACAGGCTTGACATCTGATCCTTGACCCTTGACCTTCTAGGAGCTGTTCCTTCATTGTTACCTCCTCCACCAGGGCACTTAGTGTTAAGTAATCTAGCAGATCAGCAACATCTCCTACTTTGGTTTTGTGACTGCAAACTGGACACGTCAGCGTTGGATTTTCTACACCTTGCCTGACCCTGAGATCTTTGAGGCATCCAAGGCAAAAACTATGCAAGCAGTCAAGAATCTTGGGCTCCTGTAAGTGTTTGGAGCAGATTGGGCAGTCCAGTTGATGCTCACTCATCATCTTATCTACATCTGGAGCATTCACGTATGCAGCCATATTTAATCTTCACATATGCCGGAAGAGATATTGCAAAACCTGCAAGGTAGAAAGGAAACAATGAGGCAACTGCGATGCTGAAAAATCACACAAATTGTTGCTTGTGTGGTTTATCGGTACTGATATTTTGAACTTTAATTGAGTCCTTGTACATGTATATACCTCTTGAGATATTGATTTCGTTGAAATCCTGATTTGGCACAAATTTTAGGAATCGGATAGTTTTCGTAAATTGTGTGTGTGAAACAGCAGTTTTAACGTTAGAGAACATTAATCAACTTATTATACTCAGACTCAAATGATAATCACATTTAAGAGGCAGTTTTGTTAGTTAAACCCACAGCCCTAGGTTTGGCCAATATATCCCAGTATCCCGACAAGAAACTGACTCGTCTCATTGGTTAAAAGTTCATAGCGCCTAATTTACATGTTGACCAGCGACCTTTCTCAAGTTTGCATAATTAAGCCGTATTTGGAAATCACGTGGCCTGACCTAAGAAAGTTCAGTGACCGACAGACAAACCAGAAATAAAATTATTAAGAAATTAAATTATTTAAACTGGCGTTGGTGCTTGTGACAGCTGTAAGGCCAAAAAAAAAGTCTCCGGTTTCTGGTATGCGTGCGCGTCGCCACAGCCATGCGCGTCGGCAAAATGAAAAGTTTTTTTTTCAATGAAAGATGATGTCTCAAAACTGCCAAACTCACTGGTTTGACTGGAATCCTGCTGCTGCACAATTTTAACGTGTTTTTAGATGGGGTTATGATCGAGAATAAGCTTTATGTGGCCTCTCTGGACTCCCATATATTTGCACAAAGTTTAGTCGGGCACCATTTGCAGTCATCAGCCGACATTTAAAGCAAAAAAAAACACGTAAAAAAACCAAAAAAACCACGTCGCCGCACCACTTTTTGGCCAAGCTCCATACCAGAAACCGGAGACTTTTTTTTTTGGCCTAAGATGTATTTTACTTATAGGTGTACATTGTACATTTTTAAAATCAGTTATTATATTAGAAATACAATTATTTAAACCAAGTTTGTAGCCATTTTTTTAATCAATAAACATACATGGAAGGCAATGCGCAGTGGTTTAATTTGGGTAGATAATTGCATTAATCTACCCTTATCTCGCTAATTTATGATAACGTTTAAAAAAAAAGTGTTCATGTGGCATGAAAAGAAAAAAACTTCATGTGGCATATCAGCAATACTACTGTACATACATTACTTTGATATTTTTGTACTGACCGCCTTCATTTAAAGGGAATATACAACATTTGCAAACATCGAAAAACAAACTACCAAGTTTTTACGAAATACCTTACTAGGATGTTGGTAAATGACAGTCTAAAGCATTCTGTAAAATTATGGCACCTGGTGTGAAGTCATTTTCAAGAAAATGGCATTTTTGTATACATTTCCAACGGTGGTAGGCCGACCATCGTTGGAAAAACCTAACTATTTTTCAACTAGTGCTCCAAATTTACAATTTTTTTTCAGTCAAAATGTTGTTTGCTATTGGTTACATGTTCATGAACGGGTGCAGGCCAGCTAGACTTACCTTACAATTTTCTGGCATCTATAAATTGATCCATTTTATATTTACTGGAGTCAGGGAATCAGACTACTTGAGCATTTTTTTTTTCTTGGTTTTTCCAGCATTTTCAAAGACAAAACTTCCAACATGTCAGTGTAACAATATTTGATCTATTATATTAACCCCTCAAATAGTTCATTTCTGAAAATTACAGCAAAAGCCAATGATGTACATTCCCTTTAACGTTCACTAGTTGCAACTACACTTACCTTTTAATATTAGGAGCTTTAAGTTCTCCTCGAATGGTCTAATCTGACTCAAATTTTGTCACAGTCTGTGATCAGAGTTTAGTTTGCGTGCTCTGACGTGACAAAACAAGATGTAGATTGCAGTACTGATCATTCCGTGGTCAAATTAAATGTGAGGTTTATGTCTCACAGAATCTGCTTTTCAGGTTATGAGGACAGAACACATGCAATGGTTGTCGGAGTTTACATCAGCTCATAATAAATGAGTTGAAAGTCCGTTGCGTGCAAGCAGGCCAACTAGCAACACTACTATGTGTACATCAATGAAGTGTACTTGGACTTGGAACAGTTGATATTGCGTGCGGAAATGGGTGGGGAAAGATAAAAGCTGAATGAAATGTTTCGTGCGGAAGTAAATGTTTACTGTTCCTGCAAATCAGGTCTGCATATTTGCAATCTGATATGACTCATTTTTGATAACAAGCATTTTGGATGTAGCTATAGAATTAATCTCCCTTCCCGCCAAAAATTATACAAATATAATATATAGTTCCCTTCAGTATAGAGCCAAATTTTGCTTACTCATCTGCTAAAAGTTTGAAAGGTTGCAAAAGTCGGGAAGAGTATAAAGTATAGAGTATAGAGCCAAATTTTGCTTACTCATCTGCTAAAAATTTGAAAAGGTTGCAAAAAGTTGGGAAGAGTATAAGCTCAAGGTCATACTAAATACCGTTTTATCATTGTGACACTTTCAAAAGCTACCATATTCATACTTAAATATCATTATTTGAAGGTGTTTGTAGTCTATAACTTTGATGTCTCCAAAGCAAATCAAAATCATTCCACTCGGCTTCACCTCATTGAACGGAACAATTTCCATCTGTCACCTCATGAAATTATTCTTACAATTGCGCTCATAAACATTCATTATTTGTGTACTAATCCAAACTAAGTAATCCTCAGTGTGAAATTTGTCAGGAATTTTCCTGATTTCAGGAGTTTTGTGAAATCCCTTTGAAATGTAGAATTATTTGTGAGATTTTACCATAAAGGTCTCTGAAAAAGTTTGGGGAGTGTGGCCTAGTGGTTAGGGTTTGATGACTCATGATCAGAGGGTCGGGGGTTCGAATCCAGCTGCTGGTCATATGTTGTGTCCTTGGGCAAGCCACTTCACCCCCACTTGCCTCTCTCCACCCAGGAGTATAAAGGGGTACCAGCATTAGCTGGAGACTAACCTGTGATGGACTAGCATCTTGTCCAGAGGGAATAGAAATAGTTGTTTCTTGCTACTGAGATCGGAGATAAACACCGGCCTGATGGGCCACATTGGCTCGTGACAGACTTACTTATTTTTCTCTGAAAGGTTTATGTAGAACAGAAGAAGTAAGCCTAGGCTAATACAAACATATGCCGTTGAGCCAATGTTGCTGTGGGGACTTCAGCATGCAACCCTCAAAACCTCTGCCGATTACTTACGGATTTTTCACTTTCCCAATCTCACCCTGTACCCTAATAGGAACATAAACCATAAAGTTTAAAATACCACATGTTAGTGTTGTTGAAAAAAACAACAACACCCAAGTGGTTATAATTAAGGGATACAATTATAGCATGGACATTAAAAACAATATCTATTTTCATTATTCTGTACAGAAGACCAGAAAAGCCTGAAACAGCTTCACCCCAGGCCACTCCAGAACCTGCAGCTGTAGTCACCCCATCCCCTGTTCCTACCTCCATGGTTCAACAGACCCCAGAGCCAGTAGACACAGCCCCCAGTACACCCAAGGAATTGGAACCACAGTTGGAGAGGGTTCAGCTCTGCAGGGCTGGCCTGAGGAATGTCAGACTCAAACTGATGTGGAACCTCACCAAAAGCCAGGTAGACAAGCTGGTCACAAGTAACAGGATGACCAACTGGGCAATGGACCGATCCAGTAAGCACCGCCCCATGGTGTTCTGACCAATCACAGCCGTGATTTATGTCCGACGTGCGTGCACTTAAGTCCGACATGCGTGCACGCGCGTATGATGCGCGCGGAAGGAAAATGCAGCGTGGCATTGGAGAGGAGCACGTGTTAATTTGCCCACGTGCGCACTGGGCGGAGCTTACTGGATCGGTCCATTGCAGCATTTTGAGCGGAAGTGTAATGCCCGTGACACAGCGAATGAACCATGATATCTAATTAACGATTCAGAGAAATGATCCCAAACTCCTAGTCTGTAATCTCCTTGACCAATACTAGATGATGTGTGCATAAGATTTGAAAAATACATTTTTAGGTTTCATTCACTGGGCTCTTAAAAGCTCTGTCACAGATATTACACAACATTGGAATTGCCAATCTACAAAGAAGTGCCTTTATCAGCGATCAGTAGTCTCATCAAACCTAAAGGATGCTATCCCCCCCCCCCCCCCCCCCCCCCACTGACTGGAAAATTGAGAATTTCCTCCATGTTGAAAAAATGGTTCACCACTCTTGAAAACTAGGTGCTACATGGACAAAATAATCATGTTAACTTCCCCGACTCTCACGGAAAAGTTTCCTCAAAACCAAATTTGGTCCAAATCCACCATGTTCAATTGTTCCCACCTCGAATGAAAAACCAGGCCCGTAACCGGTTTTAATTTAACCAGGCATTTAAATCTGCTCTACCACACTATTTTTCCCATTCAATAATACCGTAAAAAACATGAATATAAAAAGACAAAAAAATTTACTCCATGTTCAAGACAATTGTAAAACGTGTGGTTTGTCTCAGGTATTTATGAATGTAAGATTATGTTTGGTTCCACCAGCTTCACACTGACAATTGCAAACTTCTGCTTAATCCATATATTTTACTTAATATTTGTAGCTCGCCGACTTCCAAATGGAGAAACTGCTGATCACTGTTTTCTTATCCATCGGGGATGAGACTCTGCAAGTCAAGCAGATCAAGGATTCTGTGATCATCTCATCCTTTGCTAAAGAGAATGGGAGTCAGGACATGGAGACAACTTCAGAGCAATCCTCCAAAGAAAACTTTGGGGTAAGAAAGATTCTGTTGAATTAGTTTGGAGTAAACTAACAGTTGGGTTTTAAACATGCGCGGCTCCTCTGATAACTTTACTAGAGATTTCACGATGGAGCTATGTATTCTGATTGCGTTTTCTCCAAATTAAAATTTTTTGAAGATGGAGCTGAGAATGCAGGCCAACTCCAGTCAAACAGAATGAGAACCTTAAACTTCGTCCCTGGTTGACTTGATTTCTACTTTTCTCAAAAAGTCTTTCAAACAATTCTAGAAATTGTGTAGACAAATGTTACATTTATGGATTTACCAAAGGTTCAATCTGGGCCAAGTTTGCGCAAGGACTATAGTTGAACAATGGTTAACTAACGTTTGCCCGAACTCTGTCTAGTCGACGGTGGTTGACTACGCTAGTCGACTACTTGGAACCAGCCTACTGGGGTTGGTTGCTTCGCTGGTAACCAATAGCCGCGCGCATTCATAACGCTAGTAGAGAGCCAGGATCCAGAAGTTTTGCGATTTTGACCAGCGTTTGACTAGAGACATTCGCACGTTGCTATCAGTGCGCAGGCGTAAGGTACGTCACAAATCAACCACTAGTCGACTAATGGTCCTTGCCCGAACTTGGCCTAGGTATGGTTGCTGGAGGTCAAAGAAAAAAAATTGGCAATGTCTTTTAGCATTGCATCTTTCAGGTTCAGTCTTTGTAAACTGATTTTTCCTTGAATGTGATTAAATAAGTTTCCTTTTCTTTACTTGTTTTTCTTTTCATTATACTAGTCCAAACATCAGTTGTCAGTGCCAGACATAATGTTTTCTGCAAAGGAAATAGAGTTGTTTAAATACGACAAGGAACTTGTACCACAAGTGGTTTTGAGAATTCAGTATAAAACCACAACAGAAGAAGCAGGTAATGCATTAAACTCATTCCAAAGAAAACTTTTCAAAGTCTTCCAAAACTTTGTTTTTCTTAATTACTGTGAAGTTCTTAGTTTTACCGATACATCATTGAAGGGAATGTCTCTGAACGACAAATAGTTCTGTGAACACACTTATCTTAAGAAGAAGATGAATTGCTGAATACATGTGTACCATTTGTCTGTGTTTTGAAGCAGTATTATCTGCAGATTTGAGGCTTTCATCGGATGCTGCCATTTTGGATTACATCTTGTAATGGTTGCAATAACTAAGCGTATGCTTTTATAAGATGGAATTTTTGCGTCGGGGTGATAAATCAACTTATAATAGTATAATAATTTCCATCTTATAATAGTTTATGCGGTACCCGCTGCTATGTACATCAGATTCGAACCAGCCAACCGATCCCGTTAGCTCTGTGGTCGAGTGGTAAGACATCTGCACTAGAAAGCAGGAGGTCGTGGGTTCGAGTCCCACCCGAGTGATTTTTTTCCAACTTTCACTCGGGAGGTAACACACTGAGTATACAGTGTTTAAACGTCGGTGAAGGGCAAAACCTATAATTTGATTTAAGTGTATGCGTACGCGTACATGCTGCGAAACAGTGGATTGGTTGATAAGAGATACAGAGAGCTAAACCTGTGTGCACATGTATTCGGATGCGAAACCTCTCTGATAAGACTCACAAGGTAACTTTATTTTGTAACAGCTGACGAGGGTGAGCAAGACGCTAACACTTCAGTGGGATGGGCTTTGATTCCTGTTTACGAAAAGAAAACTACTCCCTCCACCCCTAATGGCAACCAAGATGAAACAGCCGATGAGGTGTCAACATGGTCACCTGATGCAGGTGATCGGACTGTACCACTGTACTTTGGGGATGTTCCAGAGGATGTGACGGCTGAAGGGGCAATGAAGGAATTTGCTGAAGAAGGTTGGCAAATATTGTATAAATTTCTGTTTTCTTTTGTTTTCCATATTTGATACATTCTACAAATGAAAACTCAATAGTATTGTTGCGGTTAACCACCTTTGACTTGTGTAGGTACGAATACAAAGTCTGCCTTAAAGTCCTTACATTTTGGTAAAGACAGTTCCCTGTGTCCGAATCAAATTTTCTAAGGTGTATATTTCACTTTTGTTACGGAAAATCTTTATCGTTGCTTTCTTTCTAACTTTTCAAAACATTACAGAAAATCAGTCTCTTCAAAGTGTCAAAGATCAAGTCTTGAAAATTATTCAGAAGTTATAGAGATAAAAATGTAACCCCCTTCGGCTGTTCTATGTTTAGATCTTCTGCGAGAGGGGTCAAAGGTCGGCCTGACAGTGTTTGATCCAGGGAACTCCCCATGGGTCGAGCATGATCCCAATCTCTTGGTGACGGCTGATAGAGAAGTTCCCGTGGAGGAAGGATTTGATCTTTACGTCGACGGAGTACGGTTCTTGCCGGATAACGCTACAATATGCAAGGTTGGTCAATTTGATGGTGCATTCTGCAAGATGGCCTGATTTTGGTGCGTTTTAATTGGTACAAATGGAAGTTAGTTTCAAGGGAAAGACAACAATGACGTGGAAAAATGGCATGACGGCTATTTTCATGATACTGCTGGATCCGCAAACTTGTGATGCGATCAAGCTAAATGAGTCGTTTGTTGACCCTGGTCAAAACAAATTTTATTACAGATTTTAAAAGAACACAATCTCAGCATTACTGCTATGAAAACTGCATGCTGGTACCATCTTTAGTTCAAAATTATGGAAGTCGGAACACCAAGAGATGTGATGAAGTGATGTGATGACGTGGCGCTATTTCGGCCTGTATCTCCAAATAAAAATTCCCGACAAACGACTCATTTAGCTTGATCGCATCACATTTGCTGAGAAAACAGTTACTAGCTACAAAGGGATCATCTGCCAAGAAAAGGTCTTATAGCATTTCTCAACATCAGAAAAAGACTCTTGTCTCACTATCTAGAATTGTTTCTGTTGGAATGAGTTGCAAAATGTTTGGTAGATAAAACCCTTTGTATTTTTTTTTGGTTTGTTTGTTTGTCAGGTCACAGGTCGTATAACTTTGCCCTCCAGCCAGCATCGGGCAGACATGGTTACCACCGCCCTGCTGGACTCGCCGGTTCGCTGCCCAACATTTAAGTATCGATACACCATGTCTGTGGCCGAGGCAACCCAGCTGGCCGTCCTGCGTATGTACACGGTGGACAAAGTGACGAGGTCCGTGGTGGTTGTAGGAGCGGCTGTTCTACAGCTGTATGTTGGAGAATCAACCAAAAAGGTAGGCTTTGAAAAAGAAGGATTGCCGGCTTGATCCCTTTTAATTAAAAAAAAGTTTAATGGCGGAGCTCTTCCCCAACAAAATTTCATTTACTGTGAACGTGAATGCAAAAGTTAATTTGACATCAAGGCGTGAATTCGAGCGGATTTTTAACATCAAGGCATCAATTTCTGGCAAATTGTTTACATTAAGACATGATTTTGGGCAGAAAATTCGTAAAAGGTAAACAGTTTGAACTCCAGCATATTTTGCTGTTAATGTTTTGCGACGTCAAATTTGTTTTTGGAGAGTATATGAACTGGCCTTTTTAATTTCACACAAGTTACAACTCTCAACTTTTCAAGTAAAAAAAGAATTGAGATTCATCGTTTGAAATATCAATTTGATAAGTTTGCATAAACACGGATCAATCAGAGCTGTAGTTTTAATGAAAAGGAATGACTGTGTTTTAAATATTTCTAAATAAAAAAAACCAAAAAATGAACCAACTTTATTTCCCCTACTTTCGTTGCTAATGTAGCTGAATGCTGGAGGTTTTCAGCTGCGACTGCACGCTGGCATGCCACCAATGGAGGAGCTGTCCATTGAGTCCATGTCTCAACTCCCCATCATCCCGGCCTGCTCACTCCTTGTCCGTCTCTTGCCCAGATCAGAGGTAAGTATTCATGGAATGAAATGTCTGCAGCAATATTTGTTTGCCTAAAAAAAGGTTACCTCATCAACAGTTTGGTATATAGAGTGGCCCAAAGAAATGTTTACACTTTTTCAGATGCAGATTTCTTGGAATTGGGGAGACGTGTTAAAATTGTTTTCAGATATTCCTAAACTACAGCATGTTCGTGGTATATGGTGATAACGGCGCTCAAAATACAGCCTAACTTAAGAAATGGCGGAGGTTTAAAGAAAGATGGACAAAAAGTTGTTCTAGTGTACAAGTACCGGAACAAACGAAGGACTGCACATATTTGTACACTTGTGGATATCAAATGAGTTGACCCAATGTTACAGGTCATAGAAGGGTACTGTTCTCAGACTCTTTATCTGAGTAAAAAGTTTCAAGGCGGTGTTCAGACTAAAGTTGGATGTGCGTGTGTTTGGAAGATCACTATCTGTGATCAAATGATCTAATTAAGTTTTTAAGAAGGCAGCATTTACTCAGTATATCACATTTACCAACAGGAGTTCATTCCGGCACCAGACTACGCCAGCGGCTATTACAGCTCCGACACATGCAAACCTACAACGTCTGAGCAGAGGATGATGGGTCATTACATGAAGAGCTCTGCCTGGGCTGATACAGTCCACATGGTCCTACAGAGGCTGAGACAGGTGGAAGCGGCCACCGAAGGTATTGCTTCTTATTATTATCATTTACCCTTTATAAGTGACCACACATTGTTCAGTGTGAAAAAGTTGTATGTCCAACGTGATTCTGTCACAATAGCCAATATGGCCCACCAGGCTGGCGTTTGTTTCCGGCTTTCTTGGCGTTAAAATGACAGAATATTTCTGTTCCCATTGAATGGGATGCCAGTCCATGGCAGGTTGCTCCCCGGCTAATGGGTGGAGAGATCGGCAAGTGAGGGTTAAGTGGCTTGCCCAAGGACACAATATACGGCCAGAAGCTGGATTTGAACCCTGAACGCTCCGATCACTAGTCACGAACCCTAACCACTAGGCCACACTCCCAACTGTTCCTACAATACACTGCATACATAAATTGATATCTTATTATACAGTCTGCACTGTATTATCTGATCTTGAAAATCTTCATGTGTTGCCTTACCAATTATACCACCCCAAACCACTCTGCCTGCAAGGGGAGTCAGGTTGACATAGCGGTACTTTCCTCGCCTTCCACCGCTGTGATCCGGGTTCGATTCCTGCCTGGGTCGACATGTGGATTGGGTTTTCAGTCCTTACCTGATTCCGTGGATTTTCCTGAAAATATTCTTTCGGGGTTTTCCTCCCACATCTAAAACTGTAATTTCTTCACATTGTCTTCTCTTTACAGGGCCCCATGGGAGACCAGTGGATTCCACTCAATGGGCTACCCAGTTAAGAAAATAAAATATAACAAACCCTGTACCGCCCCAAACCGCCCCACCATTGAATGTTTTTTTTATATTCATCAGGGAATAAGTACAATGTATTTCAAAGTGGTAATGGGTTAAAATCCAAGCAACAACTACATTTTTTTAAACTAAATGATTCGGATGCCTTCTGTCCAGAATTGAATGATGAAGAGTTGACGGCGTGGTCGTTGGACAGACTGGACTTCAAGAAGCAGTCCGATCCAGACGCTGACAAGAAACCAGATCGTTTGGATCTGTTACGCTGTGTGGACTATGATGAGGAGGAGGGGTTGTACGTGTCGGTGATGTCTGCCAAGGCTGTTCGAGGTTTGTTGATAAGGAAGAAAATGACAAATTCCTTTTAATCCGTCAAACAAAGTGTAGATTACAGTTTGATTTAAAGGTTAAGTGCTAAGTCTTTAAAGGTAATTTACAACATTTGCAAACATCAAAAAACAAAACTACCAAATTATTATGAAGTACCTTCCTTGACTGTAAGTGAATAATAGTCTCAAGCACCCTGTGAAATCATGGCACCTGGTGTGCTGACTTTTCAAGAAAGTGGCATTTTTGTATCAATTTCCAATGATAGTTGGCTGACCACCTTTGGAAAAAACCCTGTTTTTTCCCCTTCAAATATTGCCCTTAATTTACCAAATTTAGCTTTGCAATCCATTACACATACATGAATGGGTGCAAGCCAGCTAGTCTTATTCCCTGACCTGCCAATTCCCTGACGTTTATAATTTGCTCTGTTTCGTCTGAAGTAGGGTCAGGGAACCACACTACTAGAAAAGCATTTTCCTTTTCTTGGTTTTTTTCCAGCATATATGAACACACAACTTTAAAAAAGTCAGCGTATCAATATTTGTTATAAAATACTAGCCCCAAATCCATCCATTTCTGAAAATGACAGCAAAAGTAAATGTTGTTGAAATTTTGTATCAATTTCCAATAATGGTCAGCCGACCATCGTTGGAAAAAAACCGACTTTTTTTCAAATACTGCCCCCATTTTCCAAATGCAGTTAATCCACATTTTGTTTGCAATACACATCCCTGACCAGGTGCAAGCCAGTTAGTCTGGTTCAATGATCTGACAATCCTTGACATCTATAAATTGCTCCGTTTTGTCTGAAGTAGGGTCAGGAAACATTTTTTGTTGGGGGGGGGGGATTTTTCCAGCATCTATGAACACAAAACTTTAAACAGGTCAGTGCAATAATATTTGCTATAAAATACTGATCTCCAAATCCATCCATCTTTGAAAATTGCAGCAAATGCAAATGTTGTATATTACCTTTAAAAATGTATAGATCTTGATTTTGTAGCGTTGATAAAACAGGTTGGAAAATTTAGAAGTCTGTGGCACGTTTGAAAATAGGCCTGTATAAAATGAAATCATGATGTCAAATTTTCTGTTAATATTAATATTATGCTTGAGTCCTTTTGCCTGGGTCCCGAAGTATTCTGAAAAAAACCTTTTAGATGTTAAGAATCAAGCCTATATATCAAGGTTATATTGATGAAGTCATTCAAATGAATTTGAAATCAGTGGATTGAAACACAACTGTCACCACAAGTAAACAAGAAAAGCAAAACGAATCAGACTCCAAATACTTCAAACACTTTTTTAGCGTACCTTCAGTTGTCTCAGAACTTAGTTTCCTATCCATAATCAAAAACCGAATTTATTATTATTATTTTTATTATTATTTATTTCTGGTAATGAAACCAAGGATTCCTCAAAAGTGCCCTAGGCACTGTAGCTCGCAAGCTTGAAGAAACCTTTAGAGAGAAGACAATGAGAAAAAATTGCAGTTTTAGAGGTGGGAAGAAAAGCCCAGAAGAACATTCTGGAGAAAACCCACGGAATCAGGTAGGGACTGAAAACCCAATCCACATGTTGGCCCAGGTGGGATTCGAACCCGGGTAACAGCGGTGGAAGGCGAGGAAGGTACCGCTACGCCTACCTGACTCCCCATGTTACGTACAGCTCGTCTACCTTCTCACAAAGTCATATTTTAGCATAATTTGCCGACTCCACTGCAGCACTGCAAATTCCTAATCATTTGCCTATTACACCATTTGCCTTGTCGTTAATAGGTGAAGGCAAGTACAGCAATATCAGCGTTCATGTCCTACCAGGCAGCGATGTGACATCTGAGGGAGAGCTTGGCCCATCAGACACGGAGCATTTCCTGGTTCAGGATGCCAAGTCATCCAGCCTACAGACTGCGCCGGTCTTCAAGGACCCACCTAAGGTTGGTTGGTCGGTTGTTTCAAATTTGCAACTTTTGACAATTCAGGTCTTTAAAAGAATTTGTTAGGCACACTTCCAGACTGAATTTTTCTTTAATTTTTTTTTTTAGATTATCAGGTTTATAAAATAACATTTTTGGAGGTAGCAAGTTTTTGACAGAAGATAGTCAGCAAAATGCTTTGAGCGCATTTTAGTTCTGTGAATGTGAAAAAGAAAGCATCATTCTTAAGCTATACACATGTAGTTTTATTTTTAAGCCAAGTGCCCATTGGATGTTCAAATATGGAGTTGCTTATCTTTTCTGCAAAACATTGATCAACACCAACCAATGCATATTTGTACAAAATGAACAAAATGCCACATTTATTTGTGCGTAAACTACATGTGAATCAGTTTGGTGATTAGCCATTCCGAGCCATTAGCTTAATTGCCGTCGCGAGTTGATGCAGTGTATATGTGCTGTTATATAACTGACATACAGATCCGGCCTTGTCATTTGATTGGTGGAACTCACATCACGTGGCATTTATTATTGCTATTCACACCGGGGTTCAAAAAGTCCCATTCGCCCATGGTGAATGGGAATTTACTATACAAAAGGGCTCATTCCATACAATTTCTCGCAAGAGTCTCAATCTTTCAAACTGATGCTTGATTCCAGAAACTTCACCCAAGCTACAGCCCAAGGTCCCTCCTATTGCTGCGAGTGATTGGCCTGTCCATCACCTACAAGCCAGACCCAGCCAATCAGGGCCCTGGACAGATGTTTGGCAAGGACGGGACGGAGCCGGTCTCCTTGGAGTCCGACTCCAGACTGGGTTGGAGTCTGCTGCCGTTGTTTGATAAAGGCTGCGTCACTCAGGGTTCATACCTGCTGCCAATCTTTCAGGACGACGGCAAGTTTGTAAGTATAAGAATCTACCCTTTTTGCTCCTTACTGTATATAAGTGGGTGATCGTGTAGTTACGGGCCTGTTTCCCTGTAAGTGAACAAAATCCACTTTTAATTTATTTAACTTACCAAACTAGTTGGTGACATTAAGAACATGCAGGTATGTCATAGATAAAGTGCAGAGTTTTGAATTTTTGAGGAAAATTTTGGGGTAAAATGACAATGACGATGATAAAATGCAACACAAAAATAAACATGGCGTGAACATACAATATACCACTCTGAATGACACGGCACCAACCGTAAACCACGTATGAAAATCGCAACTTCTAGCCCAAGAAACTGTTCAAAGTTACAAAAAAGTTGTCATTAAAATTGAGAGAAGTCTACTTTAGGTTGAAAAAGTCATTTTTGAATGATAAACAACGCCCTCGACTCTAGTTTGATCAAAACTAAAGAGGGACTCTACTACACGATTGCCTATAGGTGATGCTTTGTATTTCCTGGGAACATGGGTTCTTAAAAACCTCTTTGTCTTTGTGAAACCAAGGTTTCCTTAAAAGCACCATAGGCACTGTAGCTCGCAAGCCTGAATAAACCTGTAAAGAGAATACAATGAGAAAAAATTACAGTTTTAGAGGTGGGAGGAAAACCCCAGAATGATGTTGTAGGGAAAACCCACGGAATCAGGCAGGGACTGAAAACCCAATCCACATATTGGCCCAGGCAGGAGTCAAACCTGGGTAACAGCGGTGGAAGGCGAGGAAAGTACCGCTACACCAACCTGAATCTAGAGGATGACTGAATGACTGGTTATTGACATGTAAGGACACATATGTGACAATGTGACTATAAATTTGTCAATATTTTGGTTATTTTTTCTAGTCATTCCTGAAGGAGCTTTCTGATGCCCCAGATCTATATGGTTGGATGGTCAGTGCATTGCAGAAGGGAACCATCGCTCTGGACACCAGCTATGCCAGCCTCACTCTCACTCTGTGGGACGGCCATTTTGACAAGGGCGAGACGGTTCAGTTGCTGGTAAGAATATTCACATCCCCAAGTGATCATCAACATGAAAGTTATGAGTCGCAAAATTGGCCTCTTTCTTTGTAAAAATAATAAAGGAGACTTGTAATGGGCCGTGTCTGTCACATTGAGGACCATTATGAGGACCATTCCTTTGGGAGAGTGTTTTTCGTTGAAAGAAGTGACGGTGAACGATTGATGTTTCTGACCATTATTGGTCCTTTCAAGTTTGATCTGTCAGATTGTATGACTTTCCCAAAACTGCAGTTGAAGTCGTGTTTGAAGTCGAGACTAGCACAAGTCCATAACAAGTCTGGTCAAAAGTAAATCACAGGTCCTTTCAGAAGTCCAGTCCCAATCAATTGTGGATGAAATACAAAGGTCCACGTTTTTGTCACGGTTCATTTGACTAGCATGTGACTTGACTTTAGACTGGAAGACATGTGATGAACTCGACAATGATTCCAGCGCAAAATCTTGCAAGGGAATAAAGACTTTTTTATTTATTTATTGTTTTGTGAATGCAGATGGAGGACAGGTTCCTCAACGTGGACGATTTCCAGAAGTTTGCGGCGGCTGCCGATGGGGTCAAAGGTCAACCCATGTCTGACCTGATCCTACAGAGCTTGCCCCCGGAGGTCAGGGAGGAGGGAGTGCTCAGCGAGATGTACTGGCGGGAGGAGGAGCGCTTTCAAGAAGTCATGAAGACAACTTTCAAAGATGTCATTGTAAGTCGAATCATAAGCGATACAGCGCCTTGAGTACCTAATTTGTTGATGTCTGCGCTTTCAGAATCCATCCTTGGAGGTTGGTTCATATTTTCAAGTGGCGCTACCCGTGCTCTTGAACATTGTAAATTTTTTTCATCTCATAAAATTTCCAATTTGTATGCTTTGTTTAAATGGAAAAACTTTTTGGTTTTTGGCTCTTTTTTTTGCATTTTTCAACCCTTTGAATGCCGTATCTTGAAAAGTACTTGATTAATTTGAATGATTCTTGTACTAAAAGAAAGCCTATTGATTGGGCTTTCATATCCTACATTTTAAAAGTGCTACAGGCAAAACTTTATTCAAAAATTGGTCCTGCCATTTGGGTTTCGTGTTTTTTAACTCACCCTGTATTTAGCACTGCGGAATGCTCAATGATTTTTTCAGTGTCATTTTTTTAGTGTGAGACTTGAACCTCTGTTTTATTAATCAGACATCCGCAATTGTGGTAACCTGTTCTTCTTGTTCATCTTGCAGGATAAAATGAAGCTGACAGAAGACGAGGAACCAAGCAACTCATGAATAAAATGTATTCAGGATTACGCAGCTTCAGCACCTAAATAAAACAATTATTTCTGACCGATTGAGAGCGTTGTCCGGTGATATTTTGAAATACATGTAAATAATAAAGTAGGTAATACTTTGTTTGGAAATTTGTAAAAAGAATCGGATTTTAATATTTTTTTGAAAATCCTGTTACTTAATGTTATTGAGTATTTACAAGCTGCACTTGATTCTGTTGGTACCAAAATGGCACTGTTAACCGTTAGGTGCACATATTATATGGATGAGATATTACAGATTATGACGTTTTTGGGGCGGTTGCTAGCGACTGGCCTGTGCTTTAATGCTTTTTGTTATATCGTGTGCTTGGATACTGTAATTTCATTGGTCAAGAACGGCCACGTGTCCAGTCTGTAAAAAAACCAACGGTTAACCTCATATACAATGCCCGCTGTAGAACCTGCACGTGCTCCCGACTGAGAACTGCATGCAATGTGGAACCGCTCAGTCTCATGTCCGGCCGGAAAGCCTGCAGTTATCAAGGGTTACACTCAAGTTAGGTTTTGCCCTTCACCGACGTTTAAACACTGTATACTCAGTGTGTTACCTCCCGAGTGAAAGTTGGAAAAAATCGATCGGGTGGGACTCGAACCCACGACCTCCTGCTTTCTAGTGCAGTCGTCTTACCACTCGACCACTGAGCTAATGTACATGATGTACATAGCAGCGGGTACCGCACAAACATCATATTCGAACCAGCCAACTGATCCCGTTAGCTCGGTGGTCGAGTGGTAAGACATCTGCACTAGAAAGCAGGAGGTCATGGGTTCGAGTCCCACCCGAGAGATTTTTTCCAACTTTCACTCGGGAGGTAACACACTGAGTATACAGTGTTTAAACTTTTGTGAAGGGCAAAACCTATCTTGATTTATATCACCCTGAATTCCATCTTATAAGGGTTACACCACACTGATTTAATTTATTTCTTACAAAGTAAGTTACAACCATTTATCTGTTTGACTTATTGCCGCGATATAACAAAACAATAATGTTAACTGCTGTGATGTGGGATATGCTGTTATGCCGTTTTTAACCCCCTCGGGTCGCATAGCCCTTGGGTGTTGAAAATGGCATATCCCACATCACCATGGGCGTCGCCGGGATTTTTCCGGGGGGGGGGGGGCAAATCAAATTTTCCCCCAACATTCCTTAACCTTTTCATTATATTCTCAATTTATCATTTTTCCGAGCGTGATCAGGGGAGCATTTGCCCTACCCCTCCCCCATCAAATTAACAGCAATATGGCTTCGCACCTCTTTTTTTTTTTTTCCTTTTTCCTTTTTTTTTTTTTTCCGGGGGAGGAGGGAGTGCCCCCCCCCCTCGGGACGCCCATGCACACCACAGCAGTTTGTTAAATACATGTAAAAGCAATCTGAATTAAAAAAAAAATATATTCCATGGTCACATTTTCAGGGCAAGGCTAGTCTGAACTCACGATTTGCACTCATTAAAAATTTATCTTCAGCACTGCACTTTTGCTTCGTGTTCATAGTTCCAAGCTACTTCTTTTGCAAAAATATTTAATTTTTTTTTCTCTCAATTTGTCCAAGGTCACCTTGAGTTGTAAGAAGTTAATAAAATTACAAAGTTTGTAAAATATTTTGAGTGTGTTTATTCAGCCAATGGTCAGCAAGTGTAGAATTGACTTCGAGAGGATCTTTCTGAAAACAACAAAAATTAAGTAGTTTTCAGGTGTGAAACTGTTGTAATGTGTAATTTTGGGCTCAATAGACCATTATCATGTTGCAACCATTTGATTTTTTCCCATTCATATCAATGTAAGCAAAGCGAGGCTGGAAGGAAAAATAGTCTGGTTCCTTTTTGCACAAAAAATATTATCATTCAGTACTGTTATTAGATACAGGGAACATGACTGAAATGGTGGCAGCATGATAAAGGACTCCTCGGTTGTATTTGCGCATGTCTAAGTGAAGATAATGAGGAAAGTGACAGGTCACATGTCATGGACACGTGTTTAATAAATTCAAGGGGTTAGCCTTACATTTTGAGTCAAAATTGGCAAAAAATGGACTTTTTCTCAAAATAGAGCTGAAATTATCTGGATGCAAAAGGAACATCAATCAATTTTCATTTTTGTAACGCAGAATTTTGAAGATTTTGGCAAAAATATTCCATTTTTAGAGGGAAAAAAAAGTTTTGAGCGAAATTTTACCTTAATTTTGCGACAGGATTTCACCTTTAATAGCACATCTGTCCAGCAATCAATTTGGAAAGCGTTCAAGAGCCATTAAGGCATCTTTCTAGCAACTTTCAAGCAATTTCATTTTTTGGCCAAAATTGAAAAATATTCAAGGGGTTGTTAGCCTTACATTTTAAGTCAAAAAAGGCCAAAAATTGACTTTTGTCAAAACAAGGCAGAAATTCATCTGGATGCAAGAGGAACATCAATCATTACTCTAACACGTAGAAATTGGAAGATTTGGGCAAAAATCATCCATTTTTGGAGATTTTTTTACTTAATTTATGAGCGTTTTGACCTTAATTTTTTTGTTGGAATTTCTCCTTTAATAGCACATCTGTCAAGCAATCCATTTGGAATGCGTTCTAGGGCCCTTAAGGCATCTTTCTAGCAACTTTCAAGCAATTTCATTTTTTGGCCAAAATTGAAAAAAAATTCAAGGGGTTAGCCTTACTAAGTCAAAAAAGGCCAAAAAGTGACTTTTGTCAAAACAAGGCAGAAATTCATCTGGATGCAAGAGGAACATCAATCAATACTCTAACACGTAGAAATTGGAAGATTTGGGCAAAAATCATCCATTTTTGGAGAATTTTTTTTCTTAATTTATGAGCGTTTTTACCTTATTTTTTTTGTTGGAATTTCTCCTTTAATAGCACATCTGTCAAGCAATCGATTTGAAATGCGTTCTAGGGCCCTTAAGGCATCTTTCTAGCAACTTTCAAGCAATTTCATTTTTGGCCAAAATTGAAAAAAAATCAAGGGGTTAGCCTTACATTTTTAGTCAAAAAAGGCCAAAAATTGACTTTTGTCAAAACGAGACAAAAATTCATCTGGATGCAAGAGGAACATCAATTAATACTCTAACACGTAGAAATTGGAAGATTTGGGCAAAAATCATTCACTTTTGGAGATTTTTTTTCTTAATTTTTGAGCGTTTTGACCTTAATTTTTTTGTTGGAATTTCTCCTTTAATAGCACATCTGTCCAGCAATCGATTTGGAATGCGTTCTAGGGCCCTTAAGGCATCTTTCTAGCAACTTTCAAGCAATTTCATTTTTTGGCCAAAATTGAAAAAAAATTCAAGGGGTTAGCCTTACATTTTAAGTCAAAAAAGGCCAAAAAGTGACTTTTGTCAAAACAAGGCAGAAATTAATCTGGATGCAAGAGGAACATCAATCAATACTCTAACACGTAGAAATTGGAAGATTTGGGCAAAAATCATCCATTTTTGGAGAATTTTTTTTCTTAATTTATGAGCGTTTTTACCTTCAGTTTTTTTGTTGGAATTTCTCCTTTAATAGCACATCTGTCAAGCAATCGATTTGAAATGCGTTCTAGGGCCTTTAAGGCATCTTTCTAGCAACTTTCAAGCAATTTCATTTTTGGCCAAAATTGAAAAAAAATCAAGGGGTTAGCCTTACATTTTTAGTCAAAAAAGGCCAAAAATTGACTTTTGTCAAAACGAGACAAAAATTCATCTGGATGCAAGAGGAACATCAATCAATACTCTAACACGTAGAAATTGGAAGATTTGGGCAAAAATCATCCACTTTTGGAGATTTTTTTTCTTAATTTATGAGCGTATTGACCTTAATTTTTTTGTTGGAATTTCTCCTTTAATAGCACATCTGTCAAGCAATCCATTTGGAATGCGTTCCAGGGCCCTTAAGGCATCTTTCTAGCAACTTTCAAGCAACTTAATTTTTTGGCCAAAATTGAAAAAAAATTCAAGGGGTTAGCCTTACATTTTAAGTCAAAAAAGGCCAAAAAGTGACTTTTGTCAAAACAAGGCAGAAATTCATCTGGATGCAAGAGGAACATCAATCAATACTCTAACACGCAGGAATTTGAAGATTTGGGCAAAAGTCATCCATTTTTTTGAAAATTGTTTCTTAATTTTTGAGCGATTTTACCTTAATTTTTTGTTGGAATTTCTCCTTTAATAGCACATCTGTCAAGCAATCCATTTGGAATGCGTTCTAGGGGCCTTAAGGCATCTTTCTAGCAACTTTCAAACAATTTCATTTTTTGGCCAAAATTGAAAAAAAATCAAGGGGTTAGCCTTACATTTTTAGTCAATAAAGGCCAAAAATTGACTTTTGTCAAAACGAGACAAAAATTCATCTGGATGCAAGAGGAACATCAATCAATACTCTAACACGTAGAAATTGGAAGATTTGGGCAAAAATCATTCACTTTTGGAGATTTTTTTTCTTAATTTTTGAGAGATTTTACCTTAATTTTTCGACTGATTTCCCCTTTAATAGCACATCTGTCCAGCAATCGATTGGGAATGCGTTCTAGAGCCCTTAAGGCATCTTTCTAGCAACTTTCAAGCAATTTCATTTCTTGGCCAAAATTGAAAAAAAATCAAGGGGTTAGCCTTACATTTTTAGTCAAAAAAGGCAAAAAATTGACTTTTGTCAAAACGAGACAAAAATTCATCTGGATGCAAGAGGAACATCAATTAATACTCTAACACGTAGAAATTGGAAGATTTGGGCAAAAATCATCCACTTTTGGAGATTTTTTTTCTTAATTTTTGAGCGATTTTACCTTAATTTTTCGACTGATTTCCCCTTTAATAGCACATCTGTCCAGCAATCGATTGGGAATGCGTTCTAGGGCCCTTAAGGCATCTTTCTAGCAACTTTCAAGCAATTTCATTTTTTGGCCAAAATTGAAAAAAAATCAAGGGGTTAGCCTTACATTTTAAGTCAAAAAAGGCCAAAAAGTGACTTTTGTCAAAACAAGGCAGAAATTCATCTGGATGCAAGAGGAACATCAATCAATACTCTAACACGTAGAAATTGGAAGATTTGGGCAAAAATCATCCACTTTTGGAGATTTTTTTTCTTAATTTATGAGCGTATTGACCTTAATTTTTTTGTTGGAATTTCTCCTTTAATAGCACATCTGTCAAGCAATCCATTTGGAATGCGTTCTAGGGGCCTTAAGGCATCTTTCTAGCAACTTTCAAGCAACTTAATTTTTTGGCCAAAATTGAAAAAAAATTCAAGGGGTTAGCCTTACATTATTCTCAGACAACACACAAAACCACACAGTGAGAGTTGATTTGACTTTTCTGGCATAGATTTTTTGAGCCGCTAATTTATTTCTCCTCGGTCAATGTTTAACTGTATTAAATGTCCGTGAATACG